ATAAAGAGTGATTGATTCTCTAAGGATCTGAATGCCCACGAGCCATCTGCGAGCTGAAGACGCTGGATAGGAGGGCTGTGGGTAGGGACACGGAGGCTCTGTCAGGTGATGGAGAAACAGGACAGGGACATAAGCATTATGTCCAGACATCTGCAAGAAGAGCCTTGGGGGCCCTGAATTGACTTGACAGCTCCTTTTTGGTCCAGTGCCTGAGGCCTAGGGCTCAACTGCTCCATGCCAGCTCATCCTAGAAAACAGGCAGACACCACTGAACTGACAGGACTCAGAGCATACATGTGAGAATCTAGAACAACCTTTCCTCTGGAACTGGGCTATTACTCTGGCATACAGATGAAGCAAGCCCTGTACTCTGGAGGCTGTTGGGAAGATAGGGGTTCTGAGAGCTACATCCAGTTATTTCAGAGCTGCCTTTGTCTTGAAGACTTGTTTCCTGTGGTGCTAAAACTTACTCTCTTGCAGTTGGAGCTAGGTATTCTCCACTTTGAGAGAAGGTGGAGGCAAAGTAGAGAACTTAGTCTTCCCCAGTTGTACCTGTCTCGAAAGAACTCATCAACCTGTGGTACAGAGCGATCAGACTGTCGAGAGAGCGAAAGCAAGTAGCCCTTTGTTACGGCAGTGGGACAAGTCAGGTACATTTCTAGTAAGGGAGCATTCTGTCATCCTGCCTGTAATTTGGTACTTATATTGTATGTGTCTTACATATAGCGATGTAAATTTTTTGGTTCCTCCCATTTGCTCCACAGAGAAGGTGAGGCCTCCCATAGGAAGTCTACTAAGTCTGTCCCATCATCTCGTTGAGGCAGGACCAGGCATCTCTCCACCCCCACAACCCCATGTCTAGGCTGGGCAAGGTATCTCTCCATATACAATGGGCTCCACTAAGTCAGTTGGTGCATTAGTGTTAGACAAACTATTTCTTTTAAAGACACACAAACCTCATTTCTTGTGGTTTGTGAAGCCAGAGATTCCTTCATTTAGCATCCAGAAAAGGGAGGGGGCTCTTTAGCCTGGAAGAGTAGCAACTGACTACTAGGAGAGGGTGTGGGCATCTGGAAGAAACCTTCCTGTTGTCCCAGGTTGCTACTAGAGTCCACAATATGCAGACCCTTATAGTTTCAATAGTATAATAACATTCTAGTACCAAAGAAAATGCAATAATTAACGCATAGTCATACTACAATATGTAAGCTTGAGTCCAGACCAGCTAAAGAGACCCCTGAGTGACTCAGCTGGTCTCTAACTCAGCAAAGCCCTCTAACAAATTCTATTTTCTCAGTGATTCTCATGTCCTTATTAGGCTCTGGGGGGAAGGGATGTGCTAATACCCTCTTCTCAACTTAAGAGGGCAGTCATGCTAGGGGCCTGGAAGTCTTTGCTAGGACTGTGGGCAGAAAGCTGGCCTGGCACTCACTTCTCTAGCTAGTAAGGTACACTGACCATAAAGATCAGATTTTGATGATAATACTGAGAAACTAAATTACAAAGAGTCTAAGCTAAGCTGAGCCATATGAAGCCTTGATGGGACCCAGACCATAGCAAACCTTTGAACAGCGTGGGTGTGTGGGAAAATGTGTCACCTCAGAGGTCAGACGTCAGGAAGCTTTAAATGTCTACCCAGAAAGCCAGTTGGGGTGGTATACACTGTAATCACAGCACTCAGGAGGCTGAGATAGGAAGACTTCTGTGAATTCATTGCCAGCTTGGCTACATAGAAAACTCTTGGGGTTTGTTTGTTTGTTTGTTTGTTTGATTGATTGATTTTTCAATTCACCCAACACAATTGCAAGAAAATAATAGCAGGGTAGACAGAGTCTCAGGTGAAATCTTTAAAGTGGACCAAAGGCATTTTTAGTGGACATCAGAGACAAGGAAGTTCTTTTACAGTTCAGCATGCCTACAAATTAAACAATTCAAGTCCAGCCATTTTCCTCTTCTTTTATAGACAATAATAATAGTCCCTTTAAATTATTTGGGAAGAGAAAAGGGGCCATCTGGGTGGGAGAGGCAAAATAGAGTAACGAGGAATATGATCAAAGTACATCACATACATAAGAAAATGAAAAAATGAAACCCATTATTTTATACAATCAATATATGCTAACAAATTAAGTTTGCAGAGGAGCAAAATTAAAAATCCATATTTATTTATTGTATCAAATTCCAAAGTCTGGCTAAAAAAATTATAACCTTTATTGTGACCATCTTATCACAAGGTTTGGAATATTTAAAAACCTAGTAATTATGGATGAGTAGTAAGATTGTGGCCATCAGTATCATCCATTCCAATACTAACTGCAGAGAACCAAATCTCCAATATAACCATGGGAATATGCATACACATAAATTTAGAGGGGTTCCTCTGGGTGCTGGGATGCAGGAGCCAGGGGTCTTTTTCCATCACAGAAGTAGGAAATACACAGGTACAATATTCCACCTGTGGGATTTCTGGATGTTTAAGTCACACTCGCCTGGTAAACACTGTGGTATGCCCAGCAGGCCTATAACAGTCACTAAGCACAGCCAGTGGATGCTAAACATCTGCTCCCAAAGGTCCCACCTCTTATTCCCCATCCCGTAATAAGCCTTCCCCTTCTCTGCCCAACCTCCCTACTAGTCACTCTGTGAGGGCCTCGAAATGCACCATTTACCCCAAACACTCTAGAAATCCAATTCCAAAATGCAGGCCTATCATTTCTCAGGGTGCTCTGAGGCAAGTGGCTTCTGAGTGGGGACCAAGAAGGCTGCAGCTGATGTAACCAATTTTATTTTCTTGGGTGAGAACTTGATCTCCCACTTCACCACTGAGGCAGTCCCAGAGAAGACTGGCATTTACCAGATGCTGGGTATCATTAAAATGCTCGAGGGCAGGGAAACATCTGAGCAGCTGGTCAAGGCTTCTTTATAAATGGTCAAAGGGACAAGGAGGACGAGAGGTTATAAGGATCAAAGGACGGCAAACGGAAAGAGGGTCTGACACTTAGTGCAGTATGAATTAGGGAGAAAGACACACAAAACTATTCCTCCTGTTTTATACCCTTGGCAGTGGTGTTTTTAAGACAGCAATTTGCCAAGGGGGTCATGAGGGGACCCCACTCGGTGAAGGATGCCTCTGGAACCAGTGTTCTGCTTCCATCAACCTGGGATCAATTTCCAGCACTGGGTGGAAACGCAGGCCAGGATCAGTGTTATGGCATAGAGACGTAACAGTAACACAGCCATGGGAAGTGTTGGTTTGGTCATTACAGCAGCTAAGAGCACTTACTCAAAGGGAAAAAAGAAAGTTTGAATGCAACGTGCTTTCCTAGCTGTTTCCTACAAAGCAGAGAGGACATTGCTTCACGTGTACTTCGGTTCTTGAGCCATACCGCAGGAATGTCAAATTCACCAGTAACTCCACAGGCACTTACCTGTCTGTAGAAATAGGCATGTGACCCTTGGGAGGGGTGAGCCACCCACTACATGAGTACTACAGCAACAGACCCAGCTATCCTGGAAAATGAATTTGGAAACTCTCAATGGCATGCCATAGGACCTACAAGAGGGATACAAATTTGGGGCTCATCATAATTGCACAGAAGCAAAACAAACTCACCTACCTCCAAAATGATGTTATGAAGTCCTAACTATGTCCATAAAAGTTTGCTTGATGGAATGTGGGGACAAGGCCAAAGCTCAGTAGCAGAGCTCTTGTCTAGCATATAGAGGCCCTGGGTTCAATTCCAGAACTGGGGGGGAGGGATGGGGAATGGCGGGTGGTATATACAGCATGCACTGCTTTGCCTCCCTTTAAACACGCCCATGGGACACGCTGAGGAAGCCGAGAGCAATGGCCTGCCCTGCACTCCCAGTGTGGGCCAGCCGCCGCCGCTGATGCTCTTCTCAGGACATGTTTGGCTGAAGAAGCGAGTCTGTGGGTGGCTCTAAATCAAGTGGTCTCCCACAGCCACAGTGACTGTGGCCCTGACTGTTCATGACTCATTTAACCTCGCATCTGGGCATTCTTTCTTAAAAGAAGGAAAACATAACATCTGCAGTTCAAGATTTTCCTTTAAGGGGGCAAAGACAGAAATCATCGTGCACCGGGAAATAAGGGAACATTTGTATCTGTGCAAGTCACTTGTTTGAGAAAGAAAATCCAACTTGGTAAGCATGACCATAGTGACAGACAATGGCTACACCTCCACAAGCCCTTTAAAAATACTGTTGTTTTTTTTTTTTCCCTTCAGCATATAGAACACACATACATATGCATTATCCTAAAGTCAACTGTAAAATTCGAGGCTGCTTAGAAACAGTTGAAAGACCAAAAAGATATGGAGAAACGTCACTCTCACAGACACATGTTTGAGAAGATTTTTTTTTTTTTTCATGTGAATTGATTTATTTAAAACAAGGATCCAGGGTGGGAGAATGTTGTAGGAGACCATGGCACAGATGAAAGTTAGTTAGTACTCACTAGCACCTCACATGTGACAGAAAGACAAAGTTGGCAACACACCAGAGAAGGGAAACCAAGCATATGGGAAAGGCACCTCGCCGGAGAGGAGCCACGGTGCCCCTCGCGCACCAGCAAGGTCGCTTGTGTGCACTCGGTCGGGACAAACAGCGTTTGGAATGGAGCTCCGGCTCCAGTGCAAACAGCCAGCCTCCTTCGCACTTAGGCTGCCGGTCATCTGTCGCGTGGCTAGGGACTGAGTATGCTAAGCCGGGACACAAAAGCTCCCCCCACCACCCATTGTTTCTCTAGAAGGAACCCCAAGTTCAGCAGTGGATTCTGGAAGCTTTTAAGCATTCTAACTTGAAAACGCAAAGTAAAAGATGGAAAAAAAAAAAAAAAAAAGCAAACTGAACTTAAACAATCAAATAGAAAGGCAGAGTCATAAAAATAAAACCCAGTGAGCGGTTCATTAACCAGTTGGTTAAGTCGACATCTGAACGAAGATGGTCATACAGCGCCCACAAGACTCATGAGCACAGAGCCATTGCTGGCAACCAGGAGCACACAGCTAGCTACCCTGGTCCTCCCAGCACACTGTATAGCTACCAGCAACCACAGGCCACGTGCTGAAGTTAGGAGACACCTCCTGTTGGCAAAGGACCCCAGTCATGGTCAGCCTAACGTATGTTCAGGGTTATGGGAGACAAGACTTACACTCTCAAACCATGATCCCCAAAGCCCCCTCTGTCCCTTCTGTATGTTCTGTACTTTTTGATCTCCACATAGGAAGGTCCGAATGTGTTCTGCTGCCCTCTCAGGTCTAGGCACTCTCTGGAACGTCTGAGATTAACGAGGCTCCTTCATTTCTTTCCAACTCCGTTGGTGACTTTGGACTTGGAATGCCGGTTCCTTCTTCTGGAAGAATGGCTTTCGTTGTTGCTTGAATGCTTGGGTGGGCTGTCTTCAGAACCTACCCAAAGGAAGCCAACACACGATCACCAGGGGCTCCCGGGGGCTTTGCAGCTGGCTCCTGGGACCCTTTCCAGGCTGCCCTAGCCTGCCCTCTAGAAGCCAGCTCTTACAGGACACTTGCTCTCCCTCTAGTGGCCATCAATAAGTTAAGGCCACAGGAAGCTGACAGGGTCTGGCTGTGCCTCACATATATAGGGCAACCGCCCCCTAAGACCTGGGCCATGAGGAATTTTTATTCTGGCATTATGTAAAACAGACTGGACACAGCATCCACGAAGACCAGAAGTGATAGTGTACAAATGAAAGCCCAAACAAGGGATAATTACAAGTCCAGCAATATCAGTTTTCATCTTATACTTACAACAATAACAGTACAGAGTCCCCAAGCTGTATACACTGAACTGCTAAACAGGCTTTGTAAGCTCTCAGTCAGAAAAGATTCTTGACTTCATAAAATTAAAACTATTAGCAGAGAGAGCAGCATCTTTACAAGCAAGGTATTTGCTGCTCATTAGTGACAGCCTGAGGTTGACATTTTAACACTGGGATGACTCTTTCCTCCAACAGAGCCTGTGACCAGTCCCTACACCAGTGGCTAAGCCTAACCCCATTCCTGAGTTCTGGTTCAGTTCCATGGGAATATTTCCAAAGACAGACATTTACTCCCACTGCCCAAAGGCCCAAATGATACTAAGTATCATTTGTCTTTCTGAATTTTTCCCTTTTTTGCTATTCTTAATAAACGGTATCTCTTCTACTCATGAATTCTTTCTACTGGGGAACCAGGAGTGCCCAGGGCTGGTATGGAACTGGATGGAACCAGATAAGGTCAGTCTGGTGAGCCCCTTTGCCCATACATGTCAACAATCTACAGGGTGGCAGGGAACTAAGCAGAGTTTCACCACCAGCTTCCCATGGTCATCTCTAAGTACGGTTTGTAAAGAAAGCCTTCCTTATCAGAGGTCACATCAAACTCGGTCTCTCAGACTCACAGTCTGCTCCCCTCAGACAATGCTTCTTGGTTTTCACAAGAACTGAACATTACTGGCCACTGGAACCTCTTCACTGTCGATGTTTTCAAAATTTAAATTTTTCAGATAACCCAGTCACCCTAGATCATTACAAAATGCTTCCCAGAGAGAGGCCATCTGAGGGTCCCGCTCACATTGCTCTGAGTCCAGAATAAAACCCATCAAATCCAGCAACCTCTTCTGAAGGGTCATCTCTCGAAAGCTCTCTAAGCATTTGCACTCACTGTGAAAGCCAAGCAGGAGAATGCTCCCATTACGGGGCTTGAGGGAAGCAGACCTCAGAATGGAGTCTCGTCTCACAAAGCAAACTTCTGGCTAGATTCTGTGAAAACTGTGTGTTGCTCAGCAAGCGACAGGTGGGGCGTGATGAGTAGGGCTGAGACTCTCCAATGTCTTCAGAAGACAAACACTGACCCCAAATCTCCACTAGGTCTGAGGGTACAGAGGATTCAATAAAGCTTTAAACAATGAGCAAGACCGTTGTTACCTTTTGAGCCTTTCCCATGATGCCAGGAGATCTCTGGACTGTAAGTGCCATCTTCACACTCTGAATAGGTCTAGAGAGAGAGACACAGGTTTAGAGGACTGGCAGGATGGAAAGAAATGGGGGTGGGGGTTCTCTGCTGAGTGTGACAAAGTTCACTCTGGATTTCTCAGCCAGAAAGCCAGACCACACAGAATCTACCTTCTAGAAAGCTTTAGTTCTGAGGCTGGGATATAGCATGGGCAAAGCCCCGGATTTGAACGTGATATCATGTACATCGAAGCACAAAGTTATGAATAAAGGATGATGGCCATTATCTTTTATTTAAACAAGGGGGTGGAGAGATAGCTCAGTTAGTATTTTCTGTGAAAGCTTGAGACCAGGACACAAATAAAAAAGCCTGACCAATGCAGCTCGTGCTTATTCTAACCAGTGAGAGGGACTGCAAAAGCAAAAGAGTGGACAAGTGACAGAGAGGAATGGTATCTGAAGCTAGCCTCTGGCTTCCACATAAAAAAAGCCCTACCTAACACACACATACACAGACACACACAGACACACACACACAGAGACACACACACAGAGACATACACACACACACACAGACACACACACAAACACAGACACACACACACACAAACACAGACACACACACACGCACAAACACAGACACACACACACACACACACACACGACTATGCTAGTGTTAAAACCCTCTCAGACCACTCTCTAACTGTAAGACACAGGCAGCGCAGGTGGGGAGCCTGGACTGGGACACATAAATAGGTCTGAAAAAGGCAAAAGAGCCAGAATATAAAACAACCTCCAGAATGGGTTCAGGGGTTTCCAACTGCTACGTTCGTTCGTTTTAGCTAATTTTTAAATTTTTTATTTAAATAACTAAGATTTAAACTCCTTGCAAAAGTGGATTAAAAATACTGACCAGGCCAGCTACAAGCAAGCACAGCTGTGTAACAGGGGCACATTCTGACATGTCAAGTTTGTATATGGCAGCACTGACATCACTCCCTAAGGCTGCTGTGCTATTTCTTTCCCTCTGGGTCTCTCAAATGAAGACCACTCCTCCCCTACCTTTTCCCGATGACCATAGTGCTCTGCATACCAAACCATGCCGTACAGGCACAGGAACGTGGTGAAGGCCTGGAAGACAGAAAGACACAAAGTGCCCAGATAAATAACAGTGCACACATACTTCACTTCCCAGAAATTGGGCTTCTGGGAGAATCCTGAGGATAGCTCAGAGCTTTTCTGCCCTATGTCTTCAGGGATATGGCTGAGATGGACAGTCAGAGATGAGCAGGATGGGTTTGGTGGACTGGGGTTGGGCAGGCCATATATGCTCCATTTGTAAGAAGGGCTATGGTGAGACCAGACATATGGCTCCCTCCAGCACCCATCTCTGCGGAGTGCAGAGACTCAGCTTAAGAAGAGGAGCTGGACAGGAAAGTCTCATTCAGCCTTGTCATACACCTGTGGGCTGAGGGACAATGCTGCGCTTACCGCCCTGGCTTCTTGGTACCAGCTGTCCCACCCTGACTCTTGTTGGGGCTGCTTTTGTAGACAGGAAAGCAAAGAAACCGCAAATACTTTGTAATGACGTGAGTGAGATGAGTGACTACCCAGAAGCCAGGCATCTCCACCTCAGCCTTGACTGTTCACCGAGCCGGTACCACGCCTTAAATGAAACTCCAGGGTAAGACAAAAGTACAGACAATTGGCCCTCTGCATGGAGAGGTTCCCTATCCTCAGAGTCAACAAACCTGTTTAGACATATTTTGAGAAAAAAAAAATGTATTGACTCCAAATATAAATACCGTAAAATAATCATCACCATTCCCCAAAAAACAAGTTACACAGTGTTTATGTTTTATCTACACACAATTTAAATGCTATAGGAGGACATGCATACACTCTACAAGCACAGTGACAATGGGAATGTAGGACTCGATGGCTAGTGGATTAGTGTATCCCAGGGGGTGGATGGAATCCTTCTCTCATGGACATTGAGAATACAAAATTTCAAAATGTGTCCAAAAACTAAGTTTAGGAAAAGTCTTTGTCTGCCCAGACTGAGCAGCAAAGGACAGAGGGAAGAAGAGGGTCAGAGAAAAGGGGTCTGAGGAGGGCGAGGAGGCTACCAGAAAGAGCAAGTGAAGTAAACTAAAGCAACCAAACGAAACAGCCTGCTTTCCAGAACACTTACACTAAGCCATTCCCAATACCCAGAGAGCTCACACTATTTCTTATGGACACCTGGGTACGTTGTTACCTATTTATTACCTCATCCCAACCATGGGGACAGGTATGAAAATCACAATTTTAGTTCTTTCCGAGAATTGGAACTTTAGATCTAGAAGGCCACTTCAGAGATTCTTAATCTTCGCACTTTAACCCAGAGAGGTGAATGCCTTCCAGGGCCTCCGGTGGCATGGGGGGAAAACCTGGAGCCAGAACACAGGTTTCCTGATAGGCCAGGCCCCAGATTTAAAGATGTTATTGGTGTGATCAGATACTGGTTCTATGTCTTTACGTCTTCCTAACACCATCCCTCCATGGAGCTCCTCCACCCATGGAGAAAAACAAGGCATCATCATAGAGCAGCAGATGCCAGCCTTGCCCACGTCGCACAGACGCGGCCTGGGGAGTGTAGCATAGGCAAGCTAGAGCAGCAGAATTGTGAACCTATCACTACGGCCAAGAGCCTAAGTTCTGGCCCATTCCTTCATGCCCTCAACGTTTGCTAAGTGTCTCTGAAGTCATGGTTCTCCTGAGAACCTGAAGGAAAGGGATCTCAGCATTCTAGTTGGCTGCCGACTTCTTTACCAAGGAGGCTGTGACAGGGGCACGGCGACAGGAAAACACAAAACCCAACCCCCATGAAAACTAGCAGGTCTCTAAATGATGGAGATTCAAAGAGAAGTTCGCATTTCCTCACTACAAAAACTACGGTGAGTGAATTTATCAGGGATACAATATGTAAATGACTGCTAACCTCCAGAAGATTTTAATACTTGTCCAAAATTTCTAACATATACTAACATTAAATTTGCCATTTTCCACGGAAGGGAAAGAACAACAATAAGCCAAAATGTACCACGGACGGGCCTCTGTTGTATTAGGGTTCTCACAAGGGCACAAGGGAATGTCTTAAGCTTCCCAGAGTAGTGGCTGTGGAATGAGCCTGGAGGTAATGCTTCCCCTGGCCTGCCTTTGCAGATTCTCCCCACCAGAGGTCAGGCGTGCAAGCTCTTTTCTTTCTCATCTCCAGTCAGCCTGCAGCTGGGGCTTTCTCCAATGGGAACCAGTGGACAGAGCAGGCTTTGCAGAAGGACCAGGCAAACACAGGCAGGTGGCAAAGGAAAAAGAGCTCATCATCATGATCACCACACAAAGGGCCGAATGTGGTTGCCAAACCTATCACTTCACCTAGGTACAAGAGGCCCCATTTTCTACTCAGCTTCAGGAGACAAAAGCTTGCAATTTATAGGTTTGCAAGCATACCTGTGGAAATCCAGGCAAGTACCTACTTAAAATGTCAGGGTCTGGATTTAAAGTAGCAATTGCTTAGATTTTGTTTAAAGAGGGATAAGGGAGGGAGAACACAAAACTCTATGGGAAGAAAGCCAGGCAGTCTGAGCCCACAGATGAGGCAGCAGCGAGCATGAAGAATCCAACTTAGCTTTATAATATGGTAACGGACATTAAAATGTATGATGGTGGGCTGGAGAGATGGCTCAGAGGTTAAGAACATAGGCTGTTCTTCCAGAGGTCCTGAGTTCAATTCCCAGCAACCGCATGGTGGCTCACAACCATCCTTAATGAGATCTGGTGCCCTCTTCTGTCATGTGCGCATGTACATAATAAATAAATAATCTTTTTAAAAATGTATGATGGTTACTCAACCACATTATTAGCCAGCACATGAGATGCTTGCTTCTATGCTAATCTCAGATTCTGTGTGTGGTGCCTTGCCTAGCAAAGGGAAGAATTAGGGCCTTTGTTTCTATGGTAGGTACAGTGTAACTAACCTACTGCTCTCGTATGGAATGATTACTACCTCCCTTCTGAGAGGGGAGTCAAGCTTGATCTTTAATAAAGGCATTGGTATGAAAAGTGTTGGGACCTTGTTTCCCGTCTTTTTGGTGGTGAAACATGCAAGACTGCAGCAAGGACTTGCTATATGCTCTGGGTCTTGGATGTTCCCCGGAGGTCCACGTTAGCCGTGGTTCACAGCTTGTTGCAACTGGGAGGTGGTGGGAACCTCTAAACAACAGAGCCCAGCAGGTCTTAGGCCACAGGGGGCTACTCTTGAAGGTGCTGATGTGTCTCTCCTTCCCATTCTTTAAAATTCCACCCTGCTAGTTTGCATGTGGATTGGGTTTCACTTTCTCTTGTTACCATGCCTCTACTGCAACCTTCTTGGTAAAGAAGGGGGCAGCCAACTGGATCACCGAGACTCCCTTCTTTTGGGCTCTTAGGTGGACAATAACTTCAGAGGATACTCGGCAAATGTTGCTGACATAAAGGAACAGGCCAGAGCCCTTTCTTTCACATCTAGCTATCAAGCAGGCACACTTTGCTCTTACTGTGCTAATGACTGTAGATTGAAGCCCCCAAAACAGAGAACCAGAACAAACCTTTGTCTTTGAACTGATCTTAGGTATTTATTACAGAAATGGAAGCTGACCAGCTCAGTGGCCTCTTTTCAAGCTGAGTCCTCTCCATGTCTGTCACACCTGATCATGTCAATTCCATTACAAGGATTAGAACTAAAACAGCCAGGTATGGCATGCTAACTGGCTGGCCCATGATGCACCATGGTAAGAAGTACCTTCTACCACATCTGGGGGTGGGGGCCCCCTGGCAAATCCTTGCTGTGATCCCATGGCTCTCCTATAGCAGGTAAGGTGAGCATCCCTCTACCCATGCAGGCATGTCATAGCCCAGTCCAAACCTAGAGTGACCATAGAAGATCAGAAGCAAAACCTCACATATGTCTAATACCCCAAGTCACTCTTTAAATTGGAGATATTCGCTCCCTGTTACTGCCCAATGTCAAGGAGGGTGGGACAAGATGTAAGTTGCTGGAGTAGGCGGAATTGCTAACCTACAACCCTAAAAATAGACACTGCAAAAATACAAACAAAACAAAATAAAAACACCTTAACAGAAAATCAAAGATGAGTTTAATTACAGGGCAGGATGAAGTTGGTAAGACAGTGAGGAAATCTATAGGACAGAAGAGCTGCTTCCTCCCTCTTACTGCATGAGAGGATGTGCTAGAGACATAAGACAATGCTGTAGAGCAAAAGAGACTTGACAGGTATGACAGCTACTTGGGATGGGTGGACAGCAATTCAAAGAAATGGTAAAAATGTGGAATCTAAGGTCAGGGAAGCCTGGATGAAAAGTGTCTTCTGAACATTAGACCACTGCACTCATGAACTCACAGCATATGGTTTCGGCACAAGACCTGAATGGAATTAGCTAGCCAACATTCCAACACTTCAGTTTCAAAGGTGAGAGTAAAGGACAGAAATAAAAGGATGGAGCTCTGGACTGAGGCCCCGCTGGGCTCCTCTCTTCAGAACGGGTCCCTCTCTTGGGTAGAAGTGTGGCCTACAAAGCAGAACACCTGTGGTCTGATTGCTTCCAAAACCACTCTATGATGCTAAATTGTATATAAACCCATGTATAGTAACATGTATGTTATATTATAAAAGTAATACGGTGAAGGAGAGAACATGGAAACTGTCCTTGTTGCTTCATCAAAGTCCTCCTCGTGTAGGCAGACACACTCCCAGAAGCAAAGTCATCACATAGGTGGTGGACCAGATATTTGGAAACGGCCAAGGTGACCCATTTCAGCTGCTGTATGGCTGTATTTTAGTCTTAAGCTTTTAGACTGGTGTCCAATCTTAAGTTATTAAGAAAATGTCCATGAGCTTCTAAGGGAACTTAGTGTCTAAGAGAATCTTATTTTTTGTATTTCACTTTCCTTAGAGACAGCTAGAGAGTTAGGCTAACATTCTGGGCTGTGTGAGTGATAACTTACCACACAAAGAAGCCAAAATACAACGTAGAGTATCTGGGTCTTCGAGAAGAGATCTTGTCCAAACTTTATGCAAACAATAGCTTCCAGGAAACCAATGACCCTAGACAGACAAGGAGCAAGATGTCCAATGTTAGTTCACCTTATCAGAGCATGTCCTTCGCCAGGAACATGCAACAGAGGGTCTCAAGGTCAAGACATGGGTAGCAGGTCCTCCACAAAATGACACAGTTCCTACCATACTTCTTCGGGAAATATTTTCCCCCTTTTCTTTTCTCTAAAAACCTTGACTCACTGGTTTTTACTACCTAGAAACACTCAACATCAGCTGACAGTGGACCTTCTTGCCAGCTTGGATACCCTCTGAATTTATTATCTTTGAGAGGTGGTTCAGTTTGCTGCTCAGAATCCAGCTACTAGAGGGCTGGTTGTTGTGAGCTAGAGACCCTACCACTATCCTTTATGTGCTGCATGCCTTTGGCATTCATAGGTAGCATTAGCATTAGAGCCCTCTAATGGAGTCTGTCAATACCTAAAGGCGCCAACCATATCCTCTCCTAGTCTTTCAAGAGTTTCATGATTCAATAGCCCTTGTTTTACTGACAACATAAGCCTTTTATGCTCTCTTAAGCAATTTTTCTAAGAACAACAAAAAAAGGTTAACATACAAATAATTCATAATTTCCTTTTAATGAAAACATTACAGAAAAGTATTAGGCCTTTCTTAAGGCTCAGAGGTTGGAGAAAAGAATGGATGAGGTGAGGGTTATGAGTTAGCTGGATTAGAAAGATGGCTAAAGAATGCAGATGTTAAATAACTCCACTTTAGAGAGTCTGTGCTTAGAACAGAATCCAGACAATTATTGGTTGAATGAGTATCTGGGTCCCCCTGTCCACCGGCATCATCAAATACATGGCTGGTTCTAAACAAAAGACTGTTTGCAATTAAACCCATTTCAGAAAAGCAGAAAAAATTAACAGAAAGTATTCTTGATACTATCTTCTAGAGCTTGGGATTCTCTTTTTCTATGTCTGCACCCAAACAAAGTTAAATGGTAGTCACCTGGAAATATTGGAGATCATGCTCCTTAATTACCATGCCCCTGGAAGCCCATGCTTAAGCATCATTTGAACTCATACATTGTTAGAAAAGATTTAGCATTCCAATCTTGAAGTCTAGGCCATGATATAACAGTAGACAACAGCTGTCTTTTATAGCTTTAGCCTATGGTGCTGGTAAGAATCAATCTCGTGCTGGGATGAAGAACAATGAGGCTAAGTCCAGGACTCAAGTGTGAGTATCTTCACTTGTCATCAAAACATCTTGAGCAGAGCATGAGAATTCTGATACTTCGTTCAGATTTTCAAAAGGCACAGTGTTATGGTTTGCCTGTAAAACATCACCCTCAAGAAGCTCATGTTTAATATTAATACTTGGTCTCTAGCTAGTAGTGTTGTTTTAGAAAAATATGGAACCTTTAAAAGATGGTGCCTCACTGGAGGAAGTGGACATCTGGGAGACAAACCTTGAGGTTTATAGCTAGCTCCATTTCATGTCCTCTTTCTGCTTCTACAGAGATAGGAGCTCTTGATGCCTTGACACATTCTGCTACCTGCCTTCCCCACCAATAGAGACTCTACCCTCAAAGTATGAGACAGAGGAAACCCTTTCTCCTTTAGGATGACTTCTCAGACATTTGGTCACAGCAATGAGAAAAGTAATTAATTCACAGGACTAGCCGACTAGTGCTGGCAACAAACCATTTCCAACACACACACACACACACACACACACACACACACACACACACACCATTTAAACAGAAGCCTCATAAAATAATTGCAACCATTAGTAAATAAAAATTATAGGAGGCCATTGTTTTCAACTAAGCTCTTGCCTCAGGTCCCAATAGAACAGGCTGAAAGTCAGGATGGAGTCACTCATGCCAAAGAAGTTTCCCATCACCAAGCAGAAAACAAGGTATTTATCTGATTTAAGAAACTGGGATTAGAGATTACAAATTGTAAAATGTGCCAAACAGGCCAATTTCATAGGCCTAAAATTATTTTCTTGATAATTGCATAACTGCAATTTTGCTACAATTACAAATGGTAAAAATCTGATATGCAGGATATCTGATTTCCAAACCCTGTGAAAGAGTCATTCGACCTCCCCAACAAGGTTGTGACCCAAAGGTTTAGAACTGCTGCTCAAGACCCTGGAACTTAATTTTAATCACTGTCCTATAATAAGGCACACTTTTCTATAACTGTGCTTTCTGCCATGCTTAGCCTTGTTGACTTTGCTGTTTCTTCTACCCACCTGGACTATATTTCTTGGATATGCAATTAGAAGGAAATTGTCACATCGCCACCCACCTGTCTGACCCATGTCTACTTCCACTAGTAAACGGTACACTTCTATGGAGAAGACCTTTGCTGAAGACATGTAAGCATGAAGGAAAACCTGAACACGGGGGCAATCCCTTACAATGAACAGAGCTCACACGGCTGGGAGGACCCCTTCAAAGGACATAGGGAGGAACAGCTAACACCCCTCCTTTCCAGAACTAAACACATGACATCAGAGGACCTCCTCTGTCAGAGTTCCACCAGAATCTTAGACCTGAATTCTCCTCCTTCCCACACAGCACTAAACAAAGGAAACTTAATCCACCTGGTCATTCTTAAAGCAGCAATTGCCTGGGCAGGAAAATAGGCTCACCCGCAGACTCAGGAGAAACTAGTGACAATGGCCCTTTGTCTCCTGGGGGGGGGGGTGGGGTGGGGTGGAGAAGAACTTAGTGAATTCTAACTTGAGTGTCTACATCTTTATTCTTTAAAATCATAGAGAACCTCTTAGAATCTTCATTACCATGCCATGTTTATACACATACAAGAGAATTCAGAAGGGAAGGCAAGATCACAACAATCATATCTGGATCATCTTTGCATGAGAGTTTCTTTTATATTTTGCTTAGACATTTTAACCATATGTGCAAAGATTTCTAACTCTGCCTGAAGTCACTTATTCTATACTTTCACACTCAAATTAGAACCTAGATTAGGTCTTGAACCTAGGCTATTGGGAACTGATCTTCCCACACAGATTTTCCCAGATCCCTCCTGAACTCTGGATGTGAAATAAGATGGCAGATTGCTGGAGTTTAAGCAGCAGAATGACTTACCTGACACATGGAAAAGAGGCTCGTTCACCCACAAAAGGGCTTGGAGGAGGGATAGGGAGTATGAGACAGTAAACAGTATATTAACTAACAGCATATTGTACCCACAGTTTGCAATCATGTGGCGTGATAATTCTTGGAGCAATAATATTATACTTTGGCATGCAGTAAGTTGTTTCACAGGGACCTTCGACGGTCAAAATAACATGAAATGTAGCTTAGCCCAGGACAGGATGATGTCCCAAACTCAAACAAGATTGAGAAATTCAATTGATCCATACTGGATCTAATTTATTTTGTAAAGGAAGGACTCTTGAGTTCTTTGGGAAAAAGTTTCTGACCTTCAGCAACTTCCTTTCTGAGGAATTTACACTAGAAGACTCCAAACAAGAAACATTCAGAGAAATTTAGGGGCTCAAAACGCTTTGAAACCCCTGCAATCACAGATACTCACCCAAACACCCAGCACTGTGTCCCTACACGCTTGCACTGTGTGTCGGTGAGGTAAGCATAGTACTGTCTGAAAGAGGAGAATGGGGATTCATGAGCACCTCTACAGGCCAAGGTTCTACACAACGGCATCACTTTCACAAAGGGAATAAAAAACCTGCCCTGCCTCGCTTATCACATTCCATCTGCCTGGTCTAGTTCCACTCAAGGGAACAGCCAGCCAGGGTTCTTCAAACATTCCTGTAAGAGATTCTGAATTTGGGTTGGGTGAGAGTGAAGGGAACTCACTTTACAGGATCACACTGTTGGCAAAGACAGCAATGGTCCAGCACCATTCCCACTGCCCTGGGAAGTCAACCTGGGCCTGACCCAGCCTCTCTGTAGGGTGGAGACCACCCCAGAGGGTCAGCTCCAGGCTTCTTCAACGGTCTCTTCTGGCATCCTCAGGGTTACGGGTGCTGATTATACAAGTCAAAACATAGACATCTTTGCCTTGCTGGAACTGGAAGGGCCCCAGCTGCATGACTCTAGATGCATGACGGGATTTTGGATGTTGCCACCCACTGACAGAACTACATACGAGCCAGAGACCGCTTTCAGATGTTTCTAGTTGTGACACGAAGATAAAGACAGATACAAGACACTTTAATAAGTGACCAGTATACAAACTATACCAAAATACTAGGATGAGGCATTTTGTATAGCTCTTGAATTAACTCATGTGAAATATGTGTTTACATGTACCACACATTTCAATACGGACCGGCTATGTTTGGTGAGTGGGTGTCAGATAAGACAGTGTGGTGTGGAACCCACAAGTACTCTGAGCCCTGTCCATGTCTGCAGAAGGCAAGCCAAACAGGAGCTCACCATTTGGTGGGTGGGAAGGGGGGGGTTCCCTTGAGGGTTTGAGAGACTCTGTGGCAAAGAAATATAACATTTGCACACAAACTTTTCTACTTACCAATAATCTCATTTTTTAGGAAACCCAGTGTCACCTTTAACGTTTTGTAACAGCAGGGACAGACTGCAGGGCATTTCTACGGGAATGCCATGAAGTGACCACTATCTTGTAAAAACTCTCACTGTTATACTGGGGTCTTGGATCAAAACATTTTCTTGATATTCTGGACAATTATTTAGAACAATATTTTCACAGAAAATCTGTCAGTTGATGTGACAGCCCTTATGCTAGGGACGAAAACACAGAGCAAGTATATTTCCTTAACAAATGGCAGTGGGGATGGACAGAATTACCTCACTGTAGGAGCTGTGATGCAGCCGATGAAGAGAATTCTGCACCAGCTTAAGGGATGGCTGGCTTGGAATACAAAGATGTGCTTCAAGAAGAAGGTATTCAACTCAGTCAGCTGAAGAAAAGAGAGATCAGTCACCCCGTGCCAGGTTACATCATCTGCATACATTCCTTAAACAGGCTTTCTAGAGCTAAAAATAACCAGCATGCCCAAAGCATCCTCGTTAAATATATGGGGTCTCCCAGAGATTGATAAAGTAGTAAAAGATGATACATAACCACTGACCAACTGGGAGCCGGTCACTGTGTGTGCGTGCATGTGTGCGTGTGTGTGCATGCATGTGTGCATGTGTGTACGTGTGTGTGCGTGCATGAGTGCGTGTGTGTGTGTGTGTGTGTGTGCATGTGCCTGTACATGTATGACTGGAGTGGTGGGAAGGTCATCAGCTATTTGAAAAGTTTCCTGTTTTGCATTTCTGTCACTTCATTCCTCCGTGTGACCTTCTGGGACAGTCAGGACAGACTTTTGAGCCCAGAACAGATTGTACAAATCAGTACTTCTATAGTCTTAAGGAATCAGGCCAGTCTAAAGAAAACCCAACTCTAGATAAATCAGCACCGACCTAAAGACACTTGAGGTCCATCTGAGCACTCACTACCTGAGGCATGTAGTATGTATGTTCAGGGCAAAGATGCAACTTCTGTTGGAGGTGCTCTGAGACAGGGTCTTGCTCTACAGTGCTGGCTGACCTGGTACCGTGCAGCCCAGGTTGGTACTGAACTTGCATCAAACCTCTTGTCTCACTCTCCTGAGCGCTAGGACTACAAGCGTGTGTCACCACTCCCACTTTTTAAGACCTTTTTAAAAGTATTGTTCTTGCAGTTGGTTGAATCTTCAGATATGGACCTTATAGGTAAGGAGGCAGAGTGACTTCTCCAAACCATAGCTATGGTTTACTAGCTTGTACTTCTATAAATATGGACTCCATCTATCAAGAAAGGAACTGCTTTCCACATGTGGACAAGATTTTTCACTCTTACATGTGATACACACTGATCTTTTCTGTCATATTTTAATGTTTTAAAAATTACCATTTATTTACATACTTATTCCATATGTGGTGTATGTGCATGTGCAATACAGTCAATGTACGTAGGTCCTAAACTTTTATGTTTGATGATTCTGCAAGAACTTTTAAGCAAAATGTACTTTCCCATGGTGAGTCTCCACAAGCTGTGACAACCCCTGGAGACAGGAAGGGAAAAAAAAGTCTGTCTCCAAAACCAGAGACGAGAGAATCCTTTCCCATCGACTACTGGGATTTCTTACATCTGGAATGCGCCTCTCCCTCAATCTGCTGCAAGACTCACACTATCCATGGGTCCCATTTCCACAGCTTTCCGAAAATAATACCCACCGGGAAAGGCTGAGATACAATTTTGTATAAGAGAGAGTGAATTAGGAATATAAGAAAAGATTCAGTGGTAGAGTGCTTGCTTCTAAGCCTCTAGGAAACCCAGTCGTGCTTCCTTCTAATTAAGGAAAAGACAAAGCTTAATGCCAACCCACTTATTGTCTCAATTTTATAAACAACTGCCCCCAGTATCTGTTGAGGATGAGTTCCAGGGCATTCCCTGGATACTAGGAATCTATACATCTATACCCCACACTACAAAAACTAAAATTAAAAATTAATAAAAATTTAAAAAAAAGTCTTCACACAGTTCTTTTGGTTTTGAAAATATTTTTCAGAACAGTGGGTGATGGGTGGTAAATATGACCTTTTCCAGGAAATAAGTTCTTAATTTGTAATTCAGAGACTCCAATTTTATAATTTCTCTACACTGAAGCAACTCCTCAGACAGTAACCTAGATTGTAATTACCCTATATGCCAGCCACAAATTCTCTTCCAAAGTATCCAGTTGACATGAAATGTTATCTAGCATTAATTCCAGGAAGATTCACGTTTTGGTTTTTACCCCCTTAGAATGCGCATCTCTAAGATTACCTGCCAGATGATCATGAAAAGGTATATGCCAGCCACTCTCTGAAAGGAAGACTTAGGATCAAACCATCTGACATAAGTCCAGCTAGCAGGAGTGAACTGCAACACGGCACGTTTGATCTTCCCTGTGGTGGTATGGATGTCCCTGGAAGAAGAGAATGGGAACCGTGAAATCCAGGGGTAAGGAAGAGGGAAAAAGGAAAAACTGCACTGATAATATTCCAGCAAGTCCACAGGACAGAGAAGACCCTTCCTAGTGGAAGTCCACTGGATCAGGGGGCTTTGTGAATGTCAACGAGATCAGAGATCTGGATGCTGCTAAGAGGGGGCTAAGTCTGTGAAGGGGTGTCAAAAGAAGTTAACAGGAATTAAAGATGCCATGGAGGGACCCAGGAAGAATGTACATGGAACAAGTATACTATTCCCTCCCACTCCGTCTCCCGAGGGCGTGTTGTGGTAAAAGGGCTCACATTTCATGTTCTTGAGCTTACCAAAGTCATTTATTTCTCCCTATCCTTCCCCAGAGTTTGTGGTAACAGAGATGTTTAACTTTTCATGAGTTTAATCCTGGGAATCACACGTTCAAATGTCTCCTTACACATGAGAAGATTTAGGTTCAAAGATGGTGTAGACCAGCTTTGTCAACACAGGTCTGCCAGCCCTCCAACTAACCGAAACCCAAGCCATTTAATTACCTGGTGGTACTTATAATTCAACTGAGGTTTATACTGAGGACTCTTGCATTTAGACTGTATGCTCAGTGTCAATGACATAAATAACAACATTCCAGACTGTTCCTTCCAGAAGGAGAGAGGTGGAAGACAGTGGGAAAACAGGTCAGGTCCTTCATCCACCCGCCTTATGAGTCTTCCCAGCATAAGGGGGAGCTGGGAAGATATCCAAGCAAGGTTGGAGGGATGACAGCAGCATGAAGAGAGTATTTTCAAAATGCCAAATGTAACAAAACAGAAACTGAAATACAGAGCAACCCCGAAACAGATTATTTAATGTACTGAAGAGGTTAATTTAGTTTAAAATAGTCTATATTCATTTATATGTTTATGTGGCTTTGAAAACATTGAGCCTTTGCTTAGTGTGGGCTTATATTCTGGCATCTTGACAAATGATTCTAAAGTTGGACTTGCAAGGAAGTACTGCGGCTGTATTTGAGTCAGCCTGGTATATAAATTTGCCCTCCACTGCTTAGTGACTGTGCCTCCTTAGGCAAGTTACTGAAGCTGGACCTCGCCATTACCATCCCAAAGAGAGGAGCAGTGTCTATCCTCAGGATTGATGCAAGCTCGAAAGTGACACTTTGCTCCACTTACTCGGAGCAATGTCTAGTCCAGATAGTGTTACAGGGTAGATCACTTTTAAATAATTACAAAATCCTCAAGTCATTAGCAAAGAAGGGCTTATCAGTAAGCTAAAGAGGCTAAATAAACTACATGATTTATGGCAAAAAGTATAAAATCTCTCCTTTGTACCACATACCCACATAAATCTGACCTAGGCTGAACATGGTCATACAGGCTTATAATCCCAGCATGCAGGAGGCTAAATCAGGAAGATAGAGTTCAAGGTCAGTCCGAGCTATGTTAGTAGATTCTATCTAAAAAAAAAAATCAACAAGCAAAACAAAACACAGATAAACAAACAATAAACAAAACTCTGAGATAGATCAAATATATTTTTTCTAATGAAAAACACACAATCAAAACACTGAAAGTGGGCAGACCTGCAATTACAGCTAGCTACTAAAAGCTTGAGGCAGGGGGATTACAAAGTCAAGGTGTGTCTGGGCTACAGAGGGAGCTCAAGGTCACCAGAGCAATTTAATGTGATTGGAGATGAAGAGGGCTGAGTATGACTTGGTGGTAGAGAACTTGCTTAGCTTACGCAGGTACTGGGCTCAGTCCGACTACTGTGGGGCTGGGGTCTGTCAAAACGGAAAGCAAAGTACCACTGGTGGCAACCTGCAAGCACTCGTGAACTACAAAAGGCCGTGAAAAAGAAACTCCGGAAGAACTGGGCGGAAGTCCTTTCCATTTCACGTGGGATGAACCTGAAAGGTTTAAAAATCCATTCCAGGAAACAGTGAGTGAATACACGTACACACTCAGGGTGGGTGAGACCGTAAATCGGTGACCTCCACTTGTAAGAAGCTTCCTGTTAAAAGGAGAAAGGACTGGAAATGCAGAGAGAGGTATATAGATGTACCATGATGTTCACTGTTAGCCTTTGTAACTGTAAAACCTTCGAGACAAAAAAAAAAACTACTAAATGACCACGAACCACTCACTATTTTATGGTTTGTGTATAAATTGAAACATATATGGAAAGGCCCTTTAAAGTCATCTTTGGGAAGAATATTGGCTGGTTTGGGGAAATGGTCACATTTTGTGATGTAAACATCTAACTCCACCATCATACCCTTAGCCCTTTTCCTCAACCACGGTCCCTGCCACAAGCTAAGGAGCAATGGATGGAGCAACAAATAAAGCAGAAGTAATGAATGAAGCAATCAGAGAAGGAGGATGAAGTAGTGAATGAAGCAATGAATGAAACAGAATGACGTAACGGCAGTGACACAAACTGCCCTCCTACAAGCACAGAGTAGGGGGGGCTACCCTCAAACTAGGGCTAAGGTAAGCTTCCCTGATGAGATGACAAGTAAGCAGGCTCAGCAGAGGAAAAGCAGGGCTAGCCTAGTCTCCATACTGCAGACCAAGTCCCTAGTAAAGGAGCCTGTGGGTGGCTACGGGGCTTTAGATTCCTGCTGTGGCACGGAAAGGGCCTGCCCTCCCAGTCTCTGGGTAGAGACTTTGAACTTAAGACTAGAGAAGCCGCAACAGACGTGTGTGGTGGTTTGGATGAAAATGGCCCCCACAGGCTCATATGCACGCACGGAGTGGCACTATTAGGAAGCACAGCCTTGTGGGAGCAGGAGTGGCCTTTTTGGAGGAAGTGTGTCACTGGGGGGTGGGGGTGGCGGGGACTTTGAGGTTTCTGATGCTCAAGGCAGGCCCAGTATCACTCCCTCTTTCTGCTGCCTGTCAATCCAGATGTAGAACCTCTGGGCTCCTTCTCTAGCACCATGCTTGTCTACATGCCTCCATGTTTCCCACCATGACCAGAATGGGCTGAACCACTGAACTCTGTAAGCAAGCTCCAATTAAATGCTTTCATTATAAGACTTGCCGTGGCCTTGGTGTCTCTTCACAGCAATAAATCCCAATCCCCAACTAAGACAGGGTGTGTGACAGGACAAATCTAATGTTTTTTGCTTGTTTGCTTGTTTTTTTTTTTTTTTTTTTTTTTTTTGGTTTTTCAAGACAGGGTTTCTCTGGATTGCTTTGGAGGTTGTCCTAGAACTTGCTCTGTAGACTAGGCTGGCTTTGAACTCACAGAGATCTGCCTGCCTCTGCCTCCTGAGTGCTGGGATTAAAGGCGTCCGCTACCAATGCCCAGCTAAAACCTAATGTTTTTTAAGAGCTCACTCAAACAACAGTCTGATAAAAAGTGGAAAAGCCTTCCCTAGGGGCAGACCATTTAATCAGTGGATAAGAGTTTGGATTCAAGCTGAGGAATAAAATTAAAGGAGTGGCTGAGAGAATTATTCCGAACCAAAAGGGTGCTCAATGAGGAAATAGTAAATGATTTAGCATTTTCTAGACATGTTTTTCATTTTTTGAGACAGAGTCTCACTATGTAGCCCAAGCTGGCTTGAAATACACTTCATAGCCTTGACTGGTCTTGAATTTGCAAAATCCTCCTGCCTCAGCTTCCCAAGGGCTGAGATGACATTTGTGAATCACAACACCCAGCAGCATTTTCTAGAAGCATGTTTGAAATCAGATTTATAATCATCTCTGCTTCAACTGCCAATGCACCATTCATCCATTATTGTGAGAGCATACTAAAACCCATTTGTACTAAGGCCCAATTCATACATAACGCCATGAAAAGGTTCCAAAGAGGACTCACTTGAAGCTTGCCCAGTGGTAAGTCCTCATCTCCAAAAATCGGCAAACCACCATGCCCAGCCAGATGCCACCACCATTGCACAACAGGATGTCCAGAATGACCTGATCCCACCAGCACTCAGCAAAGTTGGGCAGCAGATGCATGAAGAAAAGCTGAGGAACGCAAGAGGGGACAGTTGGAAAACTATTGTCAATGAAGTACCATGCATATATACTCTTTATAATAACACAGTTTCAAAAATATGCGTTTCCTTTTCCCCCCCGAATGTATATAAAAGTAACACTAACAAAGCCTGAAACAGGCTCTTGCTTTTTACATCGAAAGGTTTCTGCAAACAACATTTACCCAAATAGCTCTCCTTTGAAAACAAAGGAAAATAAAACAAAACCCTGGTTTTCAAGAATACTGGCAGCCCCAGTGAGTCACACTGGCTAATGACACAAGAAAGCATCTTTATGGAGAATAAACAGAAAGGTTTAAAAGCTGACAACGGAGTGCTATAAAATCCTCAGAATGGGAAGCCTGAGAACACAAGCTATGTGTCTGGGAACAGTTTCGATATGGTGGCCAATCAGTGAGTAACTGTAAAAGCAGAAGGTTGGGCTGGGCGGTGGTGGTGCACACCTTTAACCCCAGCACTCGGGAGATGGGGCAGGTGGATCTCTGTGAGTTCGAGGTCAGCCTGGTCTACAAAGAGAGTTCCAGGACAGCCAGGACTGTTAAACCCTGTCTCCACTCCCCGCCCCCCCAAAAAAAAAAAAAAAAAAAAAAAAAAAAAAAAAAGAACAGAAGGCTGCTGATGGTATAATGAAGGGAACTGAAAGGCTAAACAGGACATTTAAAGTATTGGTGCCCAGCAACGCCACCTTTCAGCAGGCACCATGGTATTCATGGTGGTCAGATAACAGGAAGTCTAGGCTGAGTATCCAGCAATGTTAGATCTCAAAATAAACCAGACTTGGCAAGTGCTACAGTGGTGACATCAATGGACTGTGGTGACAAGATGGGCACTGAGGATGGTCTCTGAAAGGAGGCCACATTGGAGTGGGAATGTGAACAGAAATGACTGAGTTCAAGACATGGAAAAACAGGCCATTCCTGAGAGGGCCCCAGTAAGATCAAGAGTGAGAAAAGGTCTCTTGGAAACTGTTTTGTCTGAAACAAAAGGTGTGTCAGCTGCGTCTGAAGCACTACACCCTACTGAGAGAAGATCCAGCTAAAAATGAAATTACAAAGATGTCATCACTAGTAACAGTGAATCCTATGAAGTTACAGCAGTGCAGTAAAGCATTCCTTCCGTCTGTCCATCATTAGCAAACACATTTCTTCTTGAGGTGCCTACAACTGAGAGGCCACAGGACAACCACTACTGCGTGCTGGGACTGTGGCTGCTGTGTTCCTTCCATTAGGAGGGGATGGCATTACCAATGATGCCCTTTTCCAGGTTGTAAGCAACCAGGCAGAGCTGGAACACTAGTCCTAAGATTAGGAAGAAAGAAACTACAGAAGCCAAAGAAACAAAACTATGGCCAGGCATGGGCATGGGAAGACACCCTTCAGCATGGGTGCTTCCTGAAAGGTAACAGATTCTGGGGTGAGATGGAGTTTGGGAGCATGGGCACCTTCATTTACTCACTCAAAACAGAATTGTGGGTTACCTGTGATGTGTAAGGTATAGTACTTGGATGTGGGACATGTGGACATGAGACTCGTGCTCTTAAGGGAGAAAAGAGATGCCTAGGAAAGGTCTAAATTTGTTTTTTGTTTGTCCGTTTTTCTAGACAGGGTTTCTCTGTAGCTTTGGAGCCTATCCTGGAACTTGCTCTGTCGACCAGGCTGGCCTCAAACTCAACAGAGATTCACCTGCCTCTGCCTCTCAAGTGCTGGAATTAAAGGCGTGCGCCACCACTGCCCAGTGTGAAAGATGGAGGTGTCCTTTCTGCATCTAATCATGAGATATGTAGTGGAGGGATAAAATAGGCACTCGTTCAGGTACAGCCAGAGAAACAGCCAGAGAGAGGGAAGGACTGGGCCCAGGCTCTGATGGATAAAGTCTTCAAAAATACAAAGAACAAAGACAGTTGCACCATAAGCTTGGGAAGATGGGCTCAGTGAGGCCAGGATGGGAGGTAGTAGTCAGTTCCGCTTGGGACTCATAAGCTGACTCTAAAGAGCAATGGACCACTAAAGAGTTTGTAGGAAGAAGTCTCGATATGATGGAGGATTGAAAAGGCTCACTTTCACAGAGTGTGAAGAGAAACACTTCAGCAAAAGATGGATCAGACATCGAGTGGCAGAAGAGGAATGAAAGACTTCCCAGGTCTTTTGGACCACAGGATGCTGGGGAGCAGCAAAGAAGGGCAAAGGTACCCCTGCCAGGTGAGGGAGAGCAGAGGAGGCTGGGAACTGCCAGTTGCCTTACAGTCATAGAACAACTGGGAGAGGACGTTTACCCAGGTAGAATGTGATATAACGGAAGAAAGGCAGAGCGTACATCTGTGATGGAGGTGTGGTTCTTCTACAAACTCAGTTTCTTCTCTCTGTACAATGGGAACATATACACACCACCTCTCCCCACTAATTAGGAGGTTTCTTGATGGGATGTAAGGGACTGAGCAGCGCTATGGACGAGTAGCCCCATCCTCTCGGAATCCTCATGCCCTGGGCTCCAGTTCGTCAGAAAGCAAACGGACTTGGAAGTGTAGTCATTGTAGAGGTAGTGACTTAAGTAGAGGCCACACAGGAGTCAGGTAAGAACACGATCCATTTATGACTCATGCCCTTACAAAAAGAAGCCCACGAAAACTCAGGCACACAGGGAGAAAGCTACCAAATGATGAAGTCACAGATCACAGTGATGCATCTGTAAGTCAAGGAATGCTAAAGACTCTTAAGAGGGACGCCCTGGAAGGGTGGCCACAGCAGTGCTCTGACGGAAGCAACCCTGCCCATAGCTTGAGTAGACGCTGGCCTCCCAAACTGGGGGAGTACACACTGCCAGAGGCCCACCTAGCTGGAAGGCCCCTGTAAATCCAGGTCAGCAGTGGCTGGCATTGAGAAACACACTCTACACATAGCCAAATTCTGTGTGCTGGGAATGATTAATAAATGTAAGACTAGATGGAAGGAGTTCTTCAGTTTTCATTCTGTTAATAGTTTCTCAGGGAAATCATGACCAGAGACAAAATACCTGCCCTTGTAATCCAGAACACCCAGTTCTACGGATCTCAAAAGGAAAGCTGGTATGTGGGCAAATCGAGTCACTCCTACGCAGACTTCCTCTTTATATCCTTTGTCTCATCCCGGACACCAACTTCATCTGTTATCTTGGTTTCATTTGTTTTTCTTTAAGACTTACCACAAAGGAGCAGAAGTCCTTAAGGACATGGAGAGTCCTGTTTAGTTTTTGCTTCTTAAACAAAAATACACAGTGCTGTCATGGGATGCTGTTAAGTTCTGCTTTGTACGCCAGGGGTTGGAGGACGAAATGACTGACTACCATCTGACAACTCGAATGTTCCTCTACATATACTGTGACTTCGTGGCCCTGGGGTCCCCACCCCCCAAGGTGCCCACCTCCCTTTCCATGCTTTACCTCTGTCAGCTCCCAGGTGATGCTAATTGTCCAGCAGAGCCCATAACTGCGGATCAGCAAGGCCTTCATGGCCCAGCCCCAGAAATGCCCAAAGGCAAATATATCAAAGTGACTGACGATCCTCTCCCAGGTGATCACGTGGCAGTTCACGGCATACTCCTGGTTAACATAAAGAGTTCAAACGTGATGACTGCTTGCATAACAAATGTAAGATTTAAAATTACTCAGAAATATACAATCTATTAAAGCTAAGATTAGAAAAACCAACATTCTTCTTGTTTTGTTTTAAAGATGTTGTTTATTTATTGCATATACAGTATTCTGCCTGCATGCATGCCTGCAGGCCAGAAGAGGGCACCAGACCTCATTACAGATGGCTGTGAGCCACCATGTGGTTGCTGGGAATTGAACTCAGGGCCTCTGTAAGAGCACTCAGTGCTCTCAACCTCTGAGCCATCTCTGCAGCCCGGAACCAACATTCTTAAGGCTTGAGAACTTTCAGCTCTGGGTTTATGTGATACTGAATACATTTTTGGGTGGGGACTCTTCCCTTGGAGGGAATCAGTGCTTGTCCAGTCACGCAGGCCAGGCTTTCCGCCTTCCCCAGAAGTCCCTCACCTGTATGTTCCCAGCATTTTCATTGTCACAGGGAATGTACAAATTTTTCAGCCCGGATTATCTTCTTCCACCCACGATTTTTACAGAGTGCTTTTAAATTTCCAAGTCTATCAGACTCATTACGTTTCATTGCTAGCTTTTACTCAGCTTCTCAGTGGCCAGGTACATGTGATGTCTCTTTTTAAAGGAATGTTGAACCTTCGCCGAATTACTTTCCTTCCCTTTTTATCAGTGTTGCAACCGTCATTTAGAAACTTCCAATTAGAAACCGTCCTTCCACTAACGCTAAGCATCCTGCTATAATCCTTTCTAAATTGAACAGGAAATGTGGGAGTGCTGGAGTCCTATAAATCTCTTCATTCACTGCAGGAATCCTAGAGGTGAAGTTCCAAATCCTGCAACAACGTGTTCTCCTTACAGGGTCTTCCTGGCTGACAGAGAAACATCCTGGGGCTAAAGCCACCAGCCCAGAATTTCTCAACCTCTCACCCTATGATTACTCTGGAATGAGCTGCTTAGGGCTTGTTAGGAACCTAGGTTGGGAGTGTCTGTTTCCAGTGGCAACTCTTAGCAATAATCAGACGGAAGTGCTTCTGGGGGCTTTGAACATACATTTATGCTTTTGTTATAGGAAGACATTAAAAAAAACTATAAAGACCCAAGTTGCCTATCCTAGCATTAGAATTTTAAAGAGTAGATTAACCAATTAACCACCTCCAGACGCCCTTAGGGTGTAGGCATAGCAGTTTGGCTGCCTCCTCTCTCCCAAGGAATAGGTCCCAAAATACATGGAGGATAACCAAAATCCAGATGTTCACATCCCTGATATAAAATGACAGTTTTTGCATATAAACCTACGAACATCCTCCTATATTCTTTAAGTCATTTCTAGGTTACATGTTCTAGAATAGAAATATTCTAAATGGTTTGGGAAATAATGACCAAAAAAAAAAAAAAATCTGTACATGTTTAGTAAAGTGGTAATTTTCCTTCCTATTTTTTGACTTGACGTTAGTTGAAACCATGGATGACATCAGGGATGGCACAAACTATGATGTAACACCACAATAATGGGGCAGGAAGTAGCATCCAATCAACATCTATCTTAGGGGCTTCCATTGCTATGAAGAGGCGCCATGACCATGGCAACTCCTGTAAAGAAAACATTTATTTGGGGTGGCTTGCTCACAATTTCAGAAGTTCAGTCCATTGTGATCATGGCAGGGAACAGGGCAACATACAGGAAGACACTGTGATGGAGGAATAGCTAAGAGGCCTACGTCTTGCAGACGACAGGAAGCCAACTGAGACACTGGGCATATCCTGGGCATAGGAAACCTCAACTCCTGCCCTCACAATGACACTTCCTCCAACAAGGCTGTGCCCACTCCAATGAAGTCATATCTCCTAATAGTGCTACTCCCTACGATATTATGGGGGCCAATTATATTCAAGCTACCACACCATCCCAACCTTGTGCTGGTTAGGTGTTTGTCAGCTTGACTCCTCCCTGAGAGGAGGAGAGCTCACATGGGTAACTGTCTTTATTAGATTAGTCTGTGGGATATTTTCTGTACTAGGAGGCCTAGTCCACTGTGAGAAGTGTTACGCCCGGGCAGGTCTTGGCCCTGTATAAGAAGCAAGTTGAGCAAGCCAAGGAAGCAAGCCAGTCAGTAACCAGCATTCCTCCATAGCTCCAACCTCTGCTGCTGCTTGAGTTCCTGCCATGATGTCCTTCAGTGATCAGCTAACTGGGACATGGAAGCCAAATGAACCTTGGTTTTTGCTTTCACCGTGAATCCCAGGAAAGTTAACATTTAGAAGTATCATCCCAAGAAGGTTCTAGCCATTCTGTGATGATGATTATTTCCTGATCTTTTAATCCCTTTGCTATTTCTTCATTGCCAGAGCAAATGTCTGTGCCCCAAATGCCTATTCTTTCTCCAGCACACCATCAGCTTTTCCTTCAACCTGCATTGGATAGGAGCCGTTCAAAACACTAGATGGGAATGTCACAGTAAAACAACAGCTACTGACTTTGGCTTTAGCCCCTGGCTCCCTTGCAGTTCCCTGAGGTGAAGGGGTCTTGCGGGCATCTTCTGCACTAATGGAGTTTCAACTGTTTCACAGGGAGTTCCTAATGCTTTGGAAATCCCAGAATGTTCGCAGCATCCCTTACTGTAATGAGGCAACACGTGCATGGGAGCTCAGCACCCAAGAGACAAAGAAGTAGCAGGAGCCAAATGTCTAGTCCCACCCTGCATCCTGTGACAAAACCATCACGACAACCACTCTACTGAAGGGCTTGGAGAGCTTTGAGGAGAGTGGCACATTTGCACACTAGGACTGTGGTACTCCTGACCTCTAAAAGGACAGAAGTTGCTGCATTTAGAACCCTGTCTGCCCTCAAGCCAAGTCCCTCCTCCCTGGCTATTCATCTGCATCCCATTCCATATCCCTTTAAATAAATCGGTAAAATGCATCCCTGAGTCCTGCAGGCTGAAGTCACAAGATGGTGCAATGCTCCTGTGTGTGGCCACCTATTCAGAAGCACGGGTGGCAGTCTAGACTTGTGACTCACATGGGATACAGTCAGTCCCGAGGACTGGCTTCTTAGCTATGGAGGCTAACAGTTCGTGAACATAGTTCACGCTGCTGGTATCAGAAGAGCTGGAGAACTGGGGTGTAGGCAAAACCCATAATATCTCATCAGAGAAATGATTGCTGTGAGTATAAAGAAATTGCTGACTTTTCCTCCCAAAGAGTCTTATCACTAAAAGAAAGTCACAACAATAGTTGTTTTAGCTGACACTACAAAGGGTTCATGCACGTGTGTCCTAAACACGTAACAAATGAAATCGGACCCTTTGTGGCAAGCAGGTAAAGGACTATAGTACCAGGCTGCAGGCACAACAGCAGAGGTGCTGAACATGACCCTGACCGGTACAGCAGTAGCTGTAGAGATCCATATGTGCCAGGCACTGCACAGGCTTTCTGGGATTTATAGCCATCATTACTCTGTTCAATAATAAGCCCTCCCCATCTACCACATGAATTCCCATTTCCACCTTGCAGAGAAGATAAGTGATACAAGCAGAATTCAGGACCAAGGCCATGTGGGGCGTGTGTGTGTGTGTGTGTGTGTGTGTGTGTGTGTTCTTAGCATATGCCCTTGTTTCATGAGAGGTTTTCATTTTCCTGGAGTGTATCACTTTGGGAAACGCATACAATGGTGCACCCTGAGATCCAGTTTTTAGCTATACACCCAGGAAATAAGGAAAGGATCAACTTAATATGTGGACTCTAATTCCTACACCCAGGGGCCATGAACATGTACATACCATGATGTCTGCTTCTCTTGTGGCATATCGAAGATTGGGATCTAGCCAATACATTAGGGATTTGACCTGCTCGAAGTTCAGGAAGAGGAGAAATACCAAGAAGAGGAAGTACAGCACACTGAGGCCTGATGGAAACAAAACAAGGTCAAGTGTAGGAAAGACACACAGTAGACCCAGTGGCTCAGCGTGAACAGTACGCATGAATGTCACAATACAGCCTTTTGAGGATCTGTCACAGCCAGGCATTTTCTTCGGTAAGAGGATCCGACACACAGTCCTAATTCAGGTGGAGAGGGATTCTCCTCTCTGAGGAAATGCTACTTAAGCTGTCCGGAAGGACCAGCAGCCAGCTGATGTGTAAGGTGGGTTTGGGGGAGTATGATGTAGAGAAAGGCCATAAATATATGGCCTCGCTGTGGGGCTGGGGTGATGGTAGGGAGGAGAGAGGGACTTCGGGATGCTGTGAGGCTGCAGTGAATGCTGTTAGTGGAATGCTCTAACAGGTGCTGAAGTGACAAGATTAGGGGACAAGGAGGAGGCAGGGCTTTCTGCTTTTCTCCCAAGGTCAATGGGGGGGGGGGGGAATGAATGAAACATTTTATAAAGGTGAATGAACTACAGGTGGGTCACACTTTCATATTCTGTCTGAGACTTATCCTCCAAATTAGCCATGACAAGTATTATTTTCTTGTCGCATCTCTCATAATTGTTATCCTAAAGAAACAAGCACCATGTCACTTAAAAAAAAGTAAAGCTAGCCAGGCAGTGGTGGTGCACACCTTTGATCCTATTACTCAGGGGACAGAGGCAGGAAGAGCTCTATGAGTTTGAGACCAGCCTGGTCTACAAAGCGAGCTCCAGGACAGCCTCCAAAGCTACAGAGAGAAACCCTATCTCAAAAAAAAAAAAAAAAAAAAAAAAAAAACCAAAAACAAAACACTAATACACTGCAAGGCAAAAGCAAAAGCTTGTATGTTACTTTTCTAAAAGATTTGACACTCCCCTCCCAACCCCGCCACCACAGGGGGCTATCATTTCTTCTGTTAAGCCTGCTGGAATTAGATCAGAAATGCAGGGCATCCAGGCACTGCCATACTTTGAATCACAAAACTGGCTTAGCGCTGATCTCCAAATAGCCATCCCAGAGAAAAGATGTGTGTCTCTGGAATGAATCCATAAGGAGGGCTACAGCCCCAGGCCTTTTAGCTTGACCCCTCTCCATTCACCAAGGAGAACACTGTACTGAGGCCCCTGTAGGGCAGGGCCAAGGCAGCCACATATCCCAGGGCCAAGGAACAACCTTAGGGAACTGCTCCCAATACCCTTTACACCACACTCCTTAGCCTGCCCACAAGCCTGCATGTTTCTGTCTATGCTGGTTGTCTGCTCTTTTGCTCACTGTTCTTCCCTGCCCACCTGGGCCTGTAAACTGCCAGCACTTTCCAGCCATGAGACCACCTTAGCAGCCTCTTTAACTAAGGCCTGGCTCCCTGACTGTGCTACATGCACAGACCCTTAGTTGCATCCAAATTTTAGATAGAGTCGCTCCCTTAGGCCTTTCCTCCTTATCCCAATGACACCAGCCACTCAGCCACTGTCACTTCACCCAGCTTTAACTAGCAAATGCTTAGTAATAGTTTATGATCTTTGACTAGTGATTACTTTAATAGTTTGCTCCCTACAGCCGTCCTCTGATCCATGGCTGGAGAAGGGGCTCCAAAGGACAATGTCTTATCCTCCCCGATAGCCTCGGGTCTTCTAATCTGTCACATACTCAGTGAATATGGCTGGAAATGATGAAGAGTTGCCAGGTGTGGTAGACACACCTTTAATCCCAGCACTTGGGAATCTCTACAGGTTCAAGGCCAGCTTGATCTACACAGTGAGACCCAGGACAGCCAGGACTACACAGATCTGTCTCAAAAAACAAAAACAAAGATGAAGAGCTGTCTTTACTAGCTGAAGGATGTAAGGCGGGCAACTTTAGCAAAATAACCTCTTACATTTCCAACCAGGGTTACACTGCCTTAACCTACAAAAATGTATTGTGTGTCTTACTTAGGCGTGATGAGGACAAAACCCTCTTAAGTATTAAAATTTTATTTTACACTCATTCAGGCTATTTGACTTTCTGGATGACAGAATCAAAATGCTTAATAACAAACTTCAGACCAAATGAGGGCTCTGTCTTCCAGAATTAGTTTCTTGTTTCCAAATCCCTAGAAACTGCACTGCACTGCTGGGTTTCCACAGACGCTAACAAGATAAATGTGCTCTGAGCATGAAGATGAGCTGGCAGGAGTAAAATAGGGGCATTTGCTGAAACCAAACTGTGTGCACTAAGAAACACAAGCATTAGAAGCAGGTACAGGAAACAGAAACAGCACCTATGTATGGGGATTTACGCATCTGCAACCCTTTGCATTGAAGAATCTTAGAAACATTTTTGTATTACGTACACTAAAAGGCTGGGGTTTTGTTTATTTTAATGCTATGATATTAAACCACTATTGTGATATACAGAGAAAAGATTTTGTTTTGTTTCTTGTTTGTTTGTTTTGAGAAACAATTTCCTGTGTAGCCCTGACTGTCCTGGAACTTGCTCTGTAGACCAGGCTGGCCTTGAACTCATAGAGATCTGCCTGTCGTCTCTGCCTCCCAAGTGCTGGAACTAAAGGCGTGCACCACCACTGCCAGGCAAGAAAAGATCCTTTTTTAAAGTAGAAAGAATTCTGTCGTCTACTAATGGGACTCACCAAAAACCATTCTCCATAAGGCTGGATGAGGTCGAGTGAATGGACCTGCAAAGAGAGGACATGAAGTTAGAATAAACAGGATTGGGCCACACAAAAAAAGCTCTGTTAATCTACATACAGGGAACAGTAAGAAAGGCTCTCTACTGTTAATTTTTATTTTCTCTTTTCTTTCCCCATGCCTTTTCAAACAGCCTGCTTAACCTTGGAAAACCGCAGAATTACGAACCCTACATGCCAAGAGGGACATGCCAGGCAGGTACAGCACAGGCTCTGCCTTCAGTTGCCCTGTGATGGAACTGACCTCAGGAGCTAGTGACCAAACAGGGAAGGATTCGCAGCTATCCTCTGTGTTGTCTTGGACTCCAGCCAGCAGGGGCAGTAGTGGTTAATGGCACCCTCATCTGGGGGCTGAGAGGTCATGGCAACGATGGTTCCAGTAGGGTTCAACGTAGAAGTAGCAGAGTATAACCTCATTTCGTTTGTTTAGTATCCATTGCTCAAAACAATCATATCAAGTAGGTGTTGTGGGCAGGTTTGGGGAACAAGTGAGGGAACAGGCTTAGAATGATTAAGTAATCTGGCTCCAGTCACATGGTCTGCCAATGGTATAATCATGTCACTGAGATGCAGTCACGAGAGGTCACAGAGTTCCAGGGAATATACCCAGGGCCCACAAAAGCTAGAAGAGCCACTGGAAGGTCCTCTTGTAAGAAGTCTCATACCCAACTGCAGATTCAAATGGGCTGCATCTAACCCCAGTGATGGGGTGGTTTAGTTAAAATTAAACTTGCACTTGATCATTTGCTATCCTGGGATAGAGGTAGAACTTAAAAGCTTCCAGGTTTTGTTGTTATTCGTCTGCTAAAGGAAACAAAGAAGAATGGAGAATAGGAAAGGAGGAGATGGCAGGGGATATGAAGACATCATACCCTCTCCTTTCCTGGCCTCCCAAGGGCTTATACTATACCTCCCTATAGAACGATGCCTCCTTACAGGACTAGGAAGAAGCCTAGGAATTGAATCTTCACACACACACACACACACACACACACACACACACACACACACACGCACACAGTCAAAGGTATTCTAGTGAGTGTCCATATCTCTCCTGTTTAACTCGGGTGCACTCTAAACAATCGGAGGTAATCCTAGTCCCCTGAGACTTGTCAGTCAGCATACTCCTATTGGACATCTATTTGACCACTGGGCTCTGCATATTATAAATCCTTGTTCTGGGCAGGTGAAAAAGTACATGACCCAATTCCACAAGACTTGAGGACAAGTACACGAAAAGGGTTCCAAGAAGGAAGTCTTCAAGCTCAGTGTTAGGGCACAAGCCTATGGCCTAAGAGCACTGGGAGCTGAGGCAAGAGGGTTAGGAATTCAAGGCCAGCCTGGGCTACACAACTAGATCATATCTCAGAAATCAAAAGCAGGAGGCGAGGGAGGTGTCTTCCTGGGTAACCATTTGTTAGGCAGATGTGAGGGCCTGAGTTCAAATCCCAGAAAGTTGACTGCAACAGCATACATTTATAATCCCAGAGTTCCGATGCTGAGGTGGAAGGCGGAGACAGAAGAATCTCCAGAAGCTCACAAACCACATGCCCTGACATATGAAGTGGTAAACAACAAAGAGACCAACATCCAAGCTTATCACCGACTCAAAGCATACATGACCCACATCAACACGGGCACATCCACGCACACCTACCATACACACCACAATGATTAAAAATCAAAAACAAGTCGCTTCACTCCTAATAACATAGAAAACCATCCAAGCTCAGTCAGCTGTTGCTGGACAATACTTAAGGCCATCTGGGCGGAAAGGCCCAGGGTTAACTCCTCACAATGACAGAGAAGGGATGAAGAATGTGGGTCTCTATAGCCACCTGTTGCATTATCCAAGCTCAAGGGCCTCTCTAACTCGATTTTATGTAAGAGAGTAAACGATTTCCTTATCCTTTAAGATACTCCGAGCAGAGCATTCTGGTACTCAAGTTATTTAGACTCTATAAAAAAAAAAGTCACAGAGCCCTGGCCATGAAAGTAGACCAAAACTACCACACTGATGTTATATCTGAATTCACACAAGATGAGGCACATGGTCATGAGCAAACACAGACTTACATACAAGCGTTTGGAGCAGCCTTTAATAGGTCAAGGATAAATGCCTATGAAGTTGCCAAAACAGAAGCATTCTGGGTATACCACCCTCTTGAAGGCATGTCTCCTTCTCACGTTCATTTTCATTAATTCATTTGGGAATAGGGTAACAGAGAATAGGGTAACAACACTGGAGCCAGAGATGAGTCGTGTAATATATATTCTACTTGAGAATGCGCCCTTGTGTGCTGCCTCCCAGGAAGGTCAGCAGCCTGAAAGCTGGAGCTGATGGGAAGGCTCCTAACCCTCTGCAGGGACCACCTGAAGCTACTTCTACAGCACTCTTCCACACAGAAAAGTGAGTTTTACAGCCTATGTAAAGTGTGAACAAGTGATCTTTAAGGAATTATGTAAACATATATGCTATGCAAGTATGGTTCCAAGAGAATCCCACTGCCTGCCTGCCTGACGCTATGGTTTGATATGGTTTGTCCCTTGGAAGCTCTAGAAATGCATGCTGAAATCTGATTGCTGCCTAGGCTGACTATTGCTGTGGTCATGCTGGGGGAGAGGGGCCTTTAAGAGGCGTTTGGGTGATTAGTGCAGCTCTTTCGTTAACTAGGTTAATGTTAATTCTCATGGGTTTGACTAAGTTCTTGGTCTCACAAGCCTGGGTTATTTATCTGAAGTACAGTTCCTGTTTTATCTCTTCCCAGGAAGGCTCGGATCAATCTTCTAGCTTCTTCCAATCACAGACCATCTGTGGGTAGCAGAGCAGCCCCGTACTAACTTTCACCTGCCTTCTGCCATATCCAAAGCATGCTCTGTGTAGGTCAACCAAGTCCACACTGTGGGAAAAGAAAAGCTGACAGGAAGGAACTGAAACACAAGGAAAAGGAAGCATTTATCAGTCAGGTGACGGCCCCACACAGTGCACCTGACATGAGAGATGGCTGGAGCAAGGCTGAGGAAGGAAGATGCATACTCAAGCCTGAAAGCCAGGCAGATAGGGCAGGCAGGCGACCTCAGATGATGACCCCAGAGTCACAGGTTTCAGCTGTCTCCTCTATAAACACTGGATGAGGTCTAGACTGGTGTTCCTCTGTTCACCTGGACTAGAGAGTCTGCACGGTTTGGCAAAGAATAAGGTAACGCATCAGGACCAATAGCACAGGTTTATCTTCCCAAATCAAAACGAGAGGGCATGGTTGGAGAGTATTACTGGAGAACGGAGGAAAACCCAGAAGTCACACCAAACGCTACTGCTAATAGCTTTAATCCCTCGACTTCTGAGCCTTTGGCATCTGTAAAAGAAACCCCAGTGCCTGGTTACTGAAGAAGCATCAGCAAAGATGCTTGCAAATCAGTGTTGCTACCAACACTCACCTGGAATTTTCGGGAAAGCTCTGGGCTCAAAATAACCAGAAAACAAACAAAATGTACCTTCAACTCACGAAAAAGTGAGCACTAAGAACTAAGCTGTCTTTTTATGCCACCTTTGAATGAGAACATTAGTCTCATAGCATAGGGGACAAACTCACGGCTGGCTATGTCTGCAACATTCCAACATGGCGCCCTTGAAGGAAACAACGGGTTGTATAATGACCAAGAGCTCCTTCTACGCTTAAAATCTGAAGCCCTTAAATAATTCATCTATGGAAGGAAAGGAAAGCTGGCAGTGCCAAAAGGCATTTGACAGTGGGGGTTGTTCTTAGCAAATTTTATAGCAAGGTCAATAATGTACATTGTCTTCCTTTCCTAGTAACTCTGAATAATTGGAACCATCAATCAAGAAAAAGAAAAAGTATTACATCTGCCTATAGGCTTTCATACAGTGCAAGATTTTAAAGGTAAGTTTAGTTTAAAAGCTGAAGTTGGGGCTTGAGAGATGGCTCAACAGATAAGGAAACTGTCCCCAAAATGTTCAGATTCCCAGCACCCACATAGCTGCCTGGTCGGCATAACGGACTACTTGTAATCCCAGCAGAAGCCATAGAGTCAGAGCATCTCTGGAGGAATTGACAACCTCTGGGTTCAATTGAGAGGCCTACCTTTATATATAAGTTGGATAGTGATCCAAGAAAACAGCTGCTGTTGACCTCTGGTTTCCACTCCACGCACATACAGTTACAAATGTATACACACAAGCGCACACACCACACAAATGAAAACAAATACAGGCTAAAATTTTAGGAAAGCTAAACTTAGCTTCCAAATAATAGACCACTTACAGTTCCTTACTGAAGAAACTAGGAGTGGTGGGTTTACTGTCTTGATTTCTAGGCTACTAGCAAAAACTAGCATAAGTTTATAAACACAGTGCTACACAAGAGAAAGAAAACAACAAAACAAAATTTAACTGCCACCACCTTGGAAGACCTGAAGGCCTTTGCCATAGACCATGTCCAACAGCATCCAGTAACATACAGAATGAGATTCCTCTGCCGTATATAGCAATCTAATGAAGCATGGGAGCCTGCATGATGGATACATCTTGAAGGATGATATTTAAAATCTAAGATTCATGGAGCATAACCCACAAAGAAGATGGCAAAAAAAAAATCTCAGACGTGTAAGAAAAATACACAAACTGAGCATTTAGAAATGGGTACAGAGAACAAGCACAGAATATATGCTAGAAAGGAGATATGGAAAGGGATTAGGAACAAAACATAGCAACTTATAAGGAACACTTCAGAGGGAAGGTTTGAGTTGATGAGAGATGTCATTCTGTATATGTTTCTCATACTGGTTAATGAATAAAGCACTGTTGGCCAATAGGAAAGGAAGATAGGAGGGACTAGGAGACAAGGAGGAAAGAGGAAGTAGTAGGAAGGAGGAGCCAAGATGGAGAGTCTGGAGAGAGCAGTACACGGCAGCCGGCTCCCGGTAAGAAGACCACGTGGAAAAACATAGATTAACACAAATGGGTTAATACTTAAGACAGAGCTAGCCGATAAGGAAGTAGTAACTGGCCAACAGTATAATATCAAATAGAGTCTCTGTGTGTTATTTGGGGCTGGCGCAGTGAGCAGGGTGGGTGCCGAGCGGCTCTGCGCGAATGCAAAGTCCCGTGCGGAAATGGGCAAAAAATGAGAAGCGGTGAGTGCCTTATCAGGTCCGCTTTGGCTGCAAAGATCTCCTTTGCCATAAGGGAGAGGCAAATGTCCCAAAGCTGTGGTGAGTCCACCTGGTTAAACCCTGCCCGTTGGGGAAGGTGGGGGAGGGGGGGCGGCGTCTGCCGCCTGGGTGAAACCCAGGTCCTGTGAAAATCCCAATCCCACTTCTGACACCAGATATCGCGATTAAATAAGGATCAGGATAAACAAATAGGCCGAATAGATGTTTATTCAGGGAGAAATAACTTACAACCTAGACAGATGAACACCAGGAAATTCAACCCGATCCTCTCCTCTCCTGTCCTCTCCTGTCCGAGTCACGCCAGAAAGAGAGCTTTTCCCGGCTCTCTCCGACTTCCTTCCTTCCACAGGTCACTTCCGCCCATCGCTCCACCCCCCAATGGGCGTGGTCAGTGCCACAGAAGGACTATCTCACTACAATGAGTTAACCAGAAGCATGAAAGAAAGGTTTTTGCTTCTTTCTCTAATCCTGACAAAGCAGGTCTATAATCATCAAATGTCTGCCTAATCCAAATGCAGAATCAGCAAAGATAACTGATAGCAGATGACAAATTGTTTAAGTAATAAATAGCATTGGAGCTAGCTCTGTCTTTAGCAAAAAAAAAAAAAAAAAAAAGTAACTGAGTACTATATAGCTGTTAATAATAAAAATATATGTATATCAAGGAAAAGAACAGTTGAGTAGGGCATGGCATGGCAGTATATTCCTATAATATTCCTATAATCACTTTTGATTCCAGCACTCAGGGGCCAAGGCAGGAAGATCAAGCAGTCAAGGTCACCCTGTATAGTCAATTCCAGACAGCCTTGGAATACATAGGGAGATCTTGTGTCATCCTCCCATCCCCCCCCCCAAATAAACCACTAACAAACAAAAAGAACAGTTACAGAAAAGTTAGCATTTGTCACAGTTTGCATGTGGCTTGCCTCCCAAGAGCTCATATGTCAAGAGCTTGATTCCAATGGAGGAATGTTAAAAGTTAGTGGAAGCTGTAGGAGGCAGGATCTAGCAGGAGGTCCTGGGTGCTGTCCTCAAAATGAGTACTACTGTTCTCTCAGGACCCTAGTTATCAAAGGGTCATTATAAAGAATCAAATTCAGTCTTACTAGGTAAGGTCCCCTGGTCCCCTTCTTGTACATAACCCCATCATGAGACAATGCACCATGATGCAAAGATGAGAAACCTTGCCAAAAGCCCCGTATATTTTGTTATAGTGACAAAAACGAAGCCAACACATGAGTTTAACATTATTAGTTAGCTCTCACAATATCTTCCCGTTATCCCCATCACTCAGCCAAAAATCTGAAACACATGTAAGGACAGTGGGGGCCACAGAGCTGAGGGGAGGCAGAGCAGGCAGTCTGCTCAGTGAGTCTGTGCCCATGACTGCTACACAAGGCCCATGGTATAGATGACTTGCATCTCAAAGAGTCAGAAGGGCATGACAGACATTAGAACTTCAACAGATCAGGACATCACTCACCATTGGGGAACGCTAACACGCTGATGATGAGAAAGAAGAAAATAACAGAGAGGATGCCTCTCCAGATGTTGTCTTCGGGAACAGAGTCATCCCTGAAAATAGAAGACACAGAGAATTCATTCTCAGATCTAAACAGGAAACCAAAACGCAGTACCCTTTCCACAGTCTAACTCCCAGACACTGGAGATTTTCTTTCACTGAAGGAAGTCACTACACACAGTTTACCAGTCTGTGTCACTTCCTAAAACCAACACTCTCATAATAAAGACCAGCTCTTACAGGAAAGGCTTCCAGAGGCTGAACGCACAGCTCAGGAGTGATGGGTGAGTTTAGCATGCACAAAGCTCATCTCCGCCACCAAAATTATATAAAGTAATATACAAATAAAACCGATCATCTTAAACACCAGCATACACTCTACTCAGACATGCATCTGAGACCCACTGTTCTTCAAACACAAAAACAAAACCCCAGATGTCAAAACACAAGGTTTGTTTTTGAGAGCTGTCTTTTTGATGATAAAAATAACAACAGTTGCACTTGGTTGTACAGGAAGTGGCAAGACAAATTTCAAAAAGTCAGAATGGAACAACAACAACAAAAAAAATCACCAGGGAGGCCCACTGTAACAACTACTCTTGAAATGGGAAGAGGGGGGACGGGGGACACGACACGACACCTATAGGACGTAGGAAGAGGCAGAGACATGAAAACAGGTAACAAGAAAGTGACCAGTAAAAAGAAAATCAAGAGGGGGAAAAAAGAAATCACGAGATTTAAAATCAGAGCAGAAGCAGAATGATAAGGAAATGGCTAGCCTTCCTCCCATGCATGGTCCTTCTAACATCACTTGTCTCCTGTTCCATCACCCCAGCGATTTTACTGGTCCCTTTGGTGGTTGACGTGTTCCCTGTCTACCTTGCCAGAGATTACTTCTGGAATAGGGACTTACTCCCTTCTGTTCTTGGGACCTGACACATGCAACACACTCAACAGATATTGCAGACTGACTGTTTATAAGGAAGAGATATTATGTTAACACTATGTTGGACGCTTTATATTGATAGATTGAGACAGACAGACTGGTAACATGTGGGACTCAAGAAAAGCAAACGCAAAGGAGAAAATAGAAACGTAAGACAAGAAGGTTTCCTGAATTATTGATAATTTCTAAGAAGCTGGGAGAAGAAAGTTCAGCACTGCAGATTTTAAAATGCAGAATGAGTAGGCAGAAAGTATGACATGAAACAGAATGGAAGGAGATATTTTAAAGACAGGGAGACAAGTAGCAAGCAACTAAAATTGATTAAAAAAAAAAAAGAAGCTGAATTTATGTTGTGCAGTGGTGGTGTAGACCTTTAATCCCAACATCGGAGAAGCAGAGGCAGAGGCAAGTGGATCTGAGTCCAAGGCCAGCCTGATCTACTGAGTGAGTTCCAGGACAGCCAGGGCAACACAAAGAAACCCTGTCTCGAAGAATGGCTGTATAAGACCAACATCCCACTTGCTGTGAGTGAGACAGGGATAGTACCAGCTCCTCTTTATCAACTATCTAGTTTGTATTAACAGGCAGTTAACATTATTGCTAATTTTCACAGACAAATGAAAAATAGATATTATCAACCACATTTTAAAAATGACACAACTGCTCAGGAAGGTTGAGTAACTTTCTCACAGCTGTACAGGTTAGAAGATGCAACATGGGTATTGGAACCAGAGCTGCTAGAAGCCCAAGGATGAGGCTTCTCCCATGCCCAGCTGCTGGGTTTTTCCTGACCCAGGAAGTCAGTGTGAGTCATGACAGAGGCAACCAGCAGGCAGGAAGGACTTTGACAGGCTCTCTCTCCCATATATGTGTGTGTGTGTGTGTGTGTGTGTGTGTGTGTGTGTGTGTGTGTGTGTGAGTGTATGTATATATTGCTGCAAGTTAAACTTGAGGGTAAAATTAATCGCTAGTTGGAAGAAAGGGGGATTCCACAATCCACACTTTACTCCAAAATATTGTGTATTATTAGAAAATAAGAGGGGAGTCTACGAAAGATTTTGATTAATTAAAACCAAGTCAACCGCCTCATAGTGGAAACACTTTCCTGAAGCACAGCACAACACACAGAAGCCGTGACCAAATAATATATTAGCACAGCAATTAAGTGAAGGAAACCAAATCAGTAATGAGTGCCGAGAAGATCCAAAGTTGAGGAAAGGTCCTGTGGCTCACATGAAGACAATGGGCTGAGTGTTCTAACATGGAAAGCATTCCCTTCAAAAACCAACTAACAAAGCATAACGGTCATAGCAAAATCAACATGAAAATGGGGGAAAGGGTTGTGAATAAATTACCATTGGGCAGGAAATGAAAGACACTCATGGGAAAAGATGAACAAATTAAAGTAACACCAAGAGACCATTATTTTATCTGACTAAGCAGGGGGAGCTATGAAGAAATAAGTAAGCAGGCACCCTGTGCATTAACTGCTGTTGCATGAATTTACAGCTTTTATGGCGGGTAAGTGGGTTACAGTCTACAGTGACAACCATGTATGTTCTGTGGCTCAGCCATTCCACTCTGGGAACCTCTGCTTCAGACACTCTCTTGTGTATGTGAAGTGACATGTGCACACGCACACACACACACACACACACACACACACACACACACACACACGACTGGACACAAGATAGACAGTCACCAAAGAAACCTTATTAAGTTACAGTCTAGTCTCATAGAACAAAACTCACAGCCATAAAAAAAGAATGAGCGTTTCTACAAATTAAACCGTTCCATGGAGTTAAAAAGACATCATGAAGCAGTAGAACAGTAGGTCTGATAAGCAATTATTTGCACAAATAAGGGTTAATATATGTAGGAAAATAAGCTAAATGTCTGCACACAACCACTCAAGAAACAGGGAAACAGGCTTTATTCAGTGTTAGGGTCTGAAAGAGAGACTTTCCCCTACACAAACCTCTGCTATAACCTGGATTTCAAACAATGTAAATAAATGTCTACAGAAACCAGCACACCAATCTCCATTTAAAAGTGCTGGAAAGTGAGATGGCTCAGTGGATAAAGGGTTGTGTGCAAACCTGACCTCTGGAGTTCAGTCCCCATGACTCCACAAAGATGTGCTCTGATCTCCACATACACAAATATGTATTCTGACCTCAACACATACATACAATCCCCCAACGCCACACACACACACACACACACACACACACACACACACACACACACAATAACACATTCAAAAATAATTCCCAACTAGTCAAAACACACATCAACATAAGAACTTGAGATTAATACTAAGGACATAAACTCAAAGCTGAGTGAGTAAATCACACTGGTGAGCTCAGTAGCCTGGGAGTTTGAGGCTGACATGGAATACACAGCAGTTTCAAGTCAGCCTGGGCAACAAAGCAAGCACCGTATCTCAAAGTAATAATAATAAGTCATAACAATAGTGATTATTATTGTTATTATTATTAATTGTTACGATGATCAATGATAAAAAACAAACCTGTAACCTCTAATTTTTGAGCAACATTACTGGGCAAAACCAAATGTGGCCTATTTAATGTCTGGAAGGAAAAAATACGATGAGACAACATTAACAATGGAAGTTTTGTATTTGCCTAACTAGAAAAAATGTACAAAGACAATAAGGACTTTAATAAACTGGGAAATTCTTGAACAGGATAATCAAACTCAGTAGTGAGTCTGAGGAGGGAGACAGGTGAGGTTAGTAATCTGAGTCCCGTGAGGCCACAGCCCTACCTTCACAATCTGGCATGCTTTGGGCACAGAAAGGATGTGGCGTCTCTTACACTTAGCATGGCTGAGAGTCCCCAAAAGGAGCCGTATGCACACTGCAGGGACGCCCACCTAGCCTCGTGGTAACCTGGGCACGCACGGCCATACTTCAAGACCTGCTGTGAGTCCGTCTTCTCTAAACTCCAAGTCATGGAGAAATTTTAGCCTTGGGTTGAGAGGCACAGACAGTTGCCAGTTATGCATAACAAGGAAGTTGGCAGAAAGGGCCATACTTAGAGATGCCAGCAGTCCCACTCAGGTGAAAATCAGACTCTATCTATGGTTATCTACTGTGTTCTGTGCCTCACTGAGCAAACCACCTGCTCTGTGAGCAAACCACCTGCTCAGTCGTCCTACCACTCTAAGGCGGGAGGTGATCATAGCAATACCTTACGGATGAATCCTGGTCCCAGGACTGGTCCCACGCGGCTCCCCATGCAGAAGCTACACAGTACAGTGATGAGGGATATAGTCTCTAGCTGAAATGCCTTAGGCAGATCATTTAACCTCTCCGTACCTGCTCCCCCTCTGTTAAAAAGGACTAGTCGCAAGCTCTACTTCATGAGGGTTAAATGACTTACAGCTGCTACTTAGAGGAATCCCCTGTACAAAAGGGCCCGTCTCATTAGCTCATGTCTCATCATTGTTCTGTTGTTTCCATGTGCTCCTTCATCTAATAGGTGCTATGTTGGGGGACTTTGAAATGCAGGTTCTAGGTCAAGGTTTCTCATTCATTATCACATGGGCTGGGGGGGGGGGTGGGGGCAAAGTCCTCTTCTCTCTCTGCTAAACTTGATCTGCGCTGAAGAGCACTGGCCAGACACTGACAACGCAAAGGTGCCAGCTGTGAACAAGACTGTCATTAGTTCCCCAAGGCACGGGTACCATCCGATTCTGTCAAGGGACCTCAGTGCTCACAGCAGGTTTACAGCAAGCATCTGCAATATACTGGGGGGTGGGGTGGCAAGAATGTTCCAGATGATATGGCAGAGCGGGTGGGAACTGGATAACATGACACTGATCTCAGCCTAACCTAGAGAGTCCACTGACAGATTTTTTTTCTGCTCACCTGCAGGAGCCTGCTGAGACCACAGTAGCTATTAACAGCCTAGTCAGGCTTGCAAACACCACTCAGTGAGCATGGGCACCGTAGTATAGAAACTACCCAGAGAGAGTGTGACCAGAGCAGGTAAAGGACAAGTCAGCTGAGCTCTGGGACTCAGATTCTGTGTCAGTTCCATTTCTGACACCCATGGACAAATGGGGTATAGTCTCCAC